TACCTTAGTAGGATCTAGACTGAACTCTGTCACTACTATTTCCTCAAACTTTATATAACAACAATTATGATTAACCATCACCAATGCAAACTGTGACCCGTATAACAAGCAAACATGCACATATCTCATTTCTGCAAAATTTCAAAGGAAAACTGTCGACTTTAGATGAGAAAATCAGTCACATATCAGCTTAAGGTATCTGTTATGGTCACATTTATATAGTTCTTAGCACTAATAGAAAGTATGATTTCATATACAACTCAAGGTCACATACAAAAAATTATGTATCATACGTAGAACTCTACCACATGCAGTCAATCCCAATCACCTATGATGGTCACACATTGAAATTCATGCTACGTATTGAGACCGGTCATATATGTAACTGTCAATAACGTAATTATTTAACGTCCACAATCATTATGCAGCTGAGTCACATAGGCTACTGTCTGTAAATCGTAATGCCCAAACATGAATTGGTTGAATTCGAACCCACATGATGAATACAGACGCTGTCATAGGATTTTAAAATTGGAATCACATACCTGATTGTAATACAGATTACTGAAGAACGAAAGTTGCTTGATTACGGATCAATTAATTCCGATTGCTATCGAATATGATTCCGATAATGTGAATGATTTTCTTCCTACGATTGCTCGAGCTTTCTTCCTACGATTGCTCGAGCTTCTTTTTCTGAGATGTTGCATTGATTTGTGATCGAGATTTCAGCACAAATTGTAACATATTACTTATTTTAAGGAGCCGTTTGTAATTATACCATATATATATATATATATATATAATTTATGACCTGATTTGTGTATATTTAGCCCCCGTTTGAGCCACATTTTTACCTCATTAAAATAAAAAATATGACCGTTATCCATCACATCAAGTCACTATTTTTGAATTTCTATCTCTGGTGTGGGGTCCATAACGACTCTATTTCTCATTCTCATTATAATGTGGTTCAAACAGGCTCTTAAACCTTGATTCTTAAAAATGAAATGTTGTACTTTAAAAGCCTGGGTTATGTATTATTCCCATAAAAAATTGGGTGGGCTGAGCATTATGGAGCTCTTTTGGGTTGGTTTTTCCATGGGCTTAAGCCCCTGAAAGGGTCTTCCCTCCGCTTCTAACTAACAATCAACTTAATAAGTATTTACAAATAAATAAGAGCCTGTTTGAGATTGATTTCGAGAATTGATTTTTTGATCGTTAGGAGAAAAGTGGGGTCCAATTGTGAGAGAAGAAGTCAAATGTGATGGCTAAAATAATAAAATAACGATATAAAAATCAATTTTTTTGAGAAAAAAATCACTCCCCAACAGATTCTAAGCAATTAGTGCTCATAGATCTCATAAAATATATGTATAAAAAGTTATTCTACTTTTAATATTATGAACGCTTGACGTGAGTGAAGCGGAACTCTGTTTGACAATTCTTTAATTGAAAAATATGAATGATCATTATTGTATTTGATTTTCGTGTGAATGTCATATTTAAAGTTAATGTTGAAAAAGGACCATAAAGAGAAGAAGAAATCAAACAACTAGGAGTTCTGGAATCATACGAAAAGCATCACTTCATTAGTATGGGAAAAGAAAAATGTCTCATTCTTGAAAATGTTTTATTTCTTCAATTGCATACCCAACTGTTCAAACATGAACATGTTCTTATTGTTCAAAAGAAAAAAATCTGAAAAAATCTTAAATCACAAAAAATGATTAAAAAAAAAAAAAAAGCTCATCTCGTAGATCTATCAAAGTTGTGGCCTTAAATTGCAAGTCCCAAATCATGAAATCAGATTATCATGTTCAGAATTTGAGCGTTCACATGTTGTCAAAATGTAAGGAAAATAATATACGATTCTGAGAAGAGTTAAAAGAGAAAATGAACGCTACCCCCCAGAGAGAGAACATTCCAGACTTGTTTTTACTTCTTAATCTTACCCAAGTTGTTCAGTCGGCTACTAATTTTAAGTGGCCAAAGAGGTAAAATAGTGTCAAATGTTCGAAGGAAAACTAATAAACAAAAAATACAGACTTTTCCGAGTTTCACAAGCAAGCAAAGCTAGCTCCCCTTTGAATTAAATTAAAAACGGAAAGATTATCATCCTCTATGGAATTAAACTTCCTGTAAAGATCACAAAGCATCGTAGGGACAGAGACGAGCTTCTTTTATTGGGAATCATCAACCAACTGGGCAGCTTATGAGCAACATACATAAGGATCGATTAAGATGTCTAAATCAAACATAAATTCAATACATTACTCCACACACACACACACGAGTCGAACGTGTTTTGCATTATTTAGGCATATCCACAATAGAAGCCATAGAAACTCCTATCTATATCACACTGAAATAATATTAAATATGATACGAAGAGACCACTGATCGGGTCTTCAATGCCAAAATCTCAGATCAGAACATGGCATTTTCCGCTAGGCAGGAACCATAGAAGGGTGGGAGCCTGTAAGGGTGAATATGGTAAATCAAAAGGAAATTACCTCCCCAAGAAGAAGGGAGTCCAAGAAGGCAACTGGAGCCTCTTTATCCTCATGGTCAACCAAACCCTTATCACAAGAAACTTTATTCACCCTCTTGAAAGCATACAGAGGCAACTTTGCTCCTAATTTAATCGGAAATACAGTAAATATTGCAACCCAATTTCCATTAAAAAAAAAACTAAATAATAATAATAATAATAATAATAATAATAATAATAATAATAATAATAATAAATGGAGGAAAACCTTAAAATAATCGAAGAAATTCAATTGATACCTGGAAGGCAACAGTTTCTCAGACAATTCCGGCCGCAGCCGCCTTCCTCCCCCTCTTCCTTTTGGTAATTCGAAACAACAGTTGGAACTCTCTTGATTCTCAGCATCATCTTAAATCTCTTAATAGGTATTTTTTATTTTTTATTTTTTTATCTTCCAAATTACAAGATTTCAAGAACAACCCACCAAGCCCACAACCAAACGCAGATAAAAGAACGTTTTAGCTAAACAGTAATACGATAATAATCAATTTTAAACAGTAAATCTAATATATTACTCTACAGAGCCTAACAGTAGATCCCGCCGCCGGCAAGGAAGAGGAGATCGGAAGGGCTGCCGCCTTCAGAAGGCAAAGCACCACGTCCACCGTGCGGCGAAGGGCTGCTCTCGCTTACAAAACCCTTACATCGCACTGCCCGGACATGGATGAGAAGCGGTTTCGCTCTTAGTATAGCCGTGTTGTCTACAACTTGTCTCCCTCTGGGTTTTACCCCCTCTCTCTCAAAACAACACCACAGGAATCTCTAACACCTCCTACTTAAAATCCAGCCTTTTGGGTACTTGATTCTGAAGGAAACAAGAAAATTTATATGCTTCGAAATTTGATCTCGTGTGCAGTGTTTGTGTGATGGAAAGTGGAGAAAGGGGATAAATATATATAGAGGGAGAATTGATAAGGGGGTGTGACCGTGCGAGTAAATGTGGTTGAGTTTTTGCCTGGTGGGTGATCTAGTTTTAGTGGCTTGGATTTCCTACTGTAATTGTATATGGACAGAATTATTGTACGAGGGGGATAGCCGGACGGGAGAGAGAAGACAGAATAGACTGGATAGTGGAGAATTATGGTTATTTAGGTCGCTCCAATGTAACGTTTTCTTTACTTTTGGTCCCCTCCAATAAAATTTGAAAAAGTTTTGATATGCATAATTTATGTACATAATGTTAATCACACCGCTCACATTGAGTGGGGCCCACCTTCTATGAGTCCCAACTTATATGAAAGGTGTGAACACTTCTATGTACCCAAATTATATACACCAAGCATAACCCATAAACTTTTATATATTCTTTTTTTAGGAGTTGATTGAGCCTCATTTTTTTTTTTTCAAAAAATGCATTTTGAAATAGTGTTATGGTGGAGAATGTGTGATTAAAAAAAATATTTTGAATTTACGTTTAATATTATTTTATTGAAAAATGTGTTATTGAAATGATCTCAAATTACTATTAAAAATGTTTTTTGATAAAAAAAATGGCTCAAACAAGGGCTTAATAAAATAATATTACACATTAATTAAAAAATAACACTTCAAAAAATAGTTTTTCAAAATAAATTTTTTCCCACAAATACATTTTAATGGAGCCCAGATTACGGCTATAGACAACGAACTACATAAATTTCTTGTAATAGATCCAATAAATACAGGAAAAAGATAACGGGCACTCAAGCTCGTTCTGAAAGACGAATTTGCCTTTTAAGGCTCCCTTTTGAATGAAATGTAAAGTGTTTAGAATATTTTTCATCAACTTACTTCAATTGACATTAAGTACCGAATATACTTCCTTCCTCATATGGAATAACAAAATCGTCAATAGTTATAATTTATATTATTGAAGAGTGCATTAATAATATCATCATATACAAGTATGGTATCGTAAATTACTCATAAGCGTGCAAATGTGTCGATTGTTTAGCACTTGTCGACCTGTGCAAGGAGATAATATTCTCTCGGGGTGTGGAGACCTCGGGAGCCGTAGGGACGGTTTGAGAAAAATGAATATGTAAAATGTACGACTCAATTTAACATCAATTTGGACTATTATGTATTGAACCGTTAAGGCATTTAAAATAGGATTAAAATCTTCGTTACAAATTTTCTTTAACAAGTAGTGTTCAAAGATTCGCTACTTGAAACATAGGTTTTGATAGGAGTGTTTATTTAGTTTCTATTTCATAGGGGTTGATTTCAGCCCCCGTTTGATTTTGATTTTTCAAGCAAAAAAATTAATTTTTTTTATCGTTATTTAATATAGTCAGCCGTCATTTTTTACATTTTCGCTCACAGATAGGACTCACTTTTCAAGCAAAGGTCAAAAAATTGATTCTCATAATCAGCATCAAACATGCTCTCAATTTAAGTTAAAGTCAACAACTAATTTTAATCAAATATTAATGAATCGTTTAACATTTCAACTACACATTTCATCAATTTTTATCAAAATTAATTTAAAATCTTATTTTTATCCCATTGAACAAGCACTCAGCAAATTGATCTTAATCGAACCAATATCTATTTCTTCGGGGTCAGTTTTGATGGATTTGGAGTCTCGTTGATTTGATTAAAAATATTGGATAAAGACAAAGCTTACTACGATGTCATTTTGAAATTTTCTTTTTCCAATGTAAAGGAGGATGTTTGATGAGAATTAAAATTAAATTTTTTAGTATATTGTGATAGAAGTTTTTGAAATATATAGTTTAAAAGTTGTGGAACCCATAAAAAATGTGATTAATATTGATTATTTAACTTTAATTTAGATTAAAATCAGATTTTAATCAAAACCAAACATGAAATAAAACTACTTGAATAAAGCAGTTAACACAGGCAAAAGAAATTCGTTAAGGGCTGCCTCCTATGAAATTTTTGACAAACAAAAGAAGCTTTTGAATTCATTAGATTAATTTTATGAAAATATTTTTATCAATTAGAAGAACTTTTAGAGAAAGTGGTCTATTTGACTTTTTTTAAAGTACTTATGAAATAAAAAGTACTTTTAAAAATTAGTTTTTAAATAAAAATTAAGTGTTTATCTGGTAGAGATTTTGTTAATTGACTTTTTGACCGTTAGAGATAAAGTGAATCCGACCCGTAAGCGAAGAATTCAAAAATAACAGCTGGAATAATAAAATAACGGCAAAAAATTGATATTAACTAGGTTAAAATCTCTAACAAACATACTCTAAGTTAGTTTCCTTCAAAATGCCTTTTACAAGACGCATAAATTATGTCAAGAAAAATGCTGAGTGCTGTACACTTAGTTTGACGGTCTAATTGCACGAGTGGGTCCCACAATTATTTTAATTGCTGTGATATGAGAGGACTGTCAAAAATAATGTAAAAAATATTGTACTTAAAGCATGCTTGTTATTTCAAATGGATCGATTAGAGGAGAATCAACTTTTATGACGAAATTTCAAATGTTGAGCTAAGCAACATTCTAGAATCTGATTAGCTGCACCAAT